AGAAAAGCAAGCTTTACAATATGTCCCATAACTTGCGATTTCCCAGGAACAAAATTTAGAAGGTCACAGGTGCTCACTGTTAACATTTGGGCACTGAAAGCCTGGGGAGAAGGCTCCAGAGAAAAGGAGTCCTTTGCTCTGTGTGGTGCTGAACTTCAAGGAAAGCCCTCAGGAGTCAGCATCACAGCATAAACAGCATCCATATTGCTCTCATCATTATTCTGTATTAACAGATACTTCTGTTTTGGATGTAGGCCTAATTACATATTGCTATCTTCATTCTTCAGCAGAATATTTAATGTACTTTGAATGAAGCGGTCACTTTATGAATTCTTATGGCTGGCCTTGAATAGATATGTCTTAAGGTCTACAGAGGAGGACAGGCAGAAGCCAGCCTCAATAAAAGGGAGAGGCAGCTGGAATGAAGGTCTGTGTTGTCACTACTCTCACCTGGTGACTTGGACTCTCTGTGAGGGTCCTACCACTCATCCAAACCCTCTTTCCAGGAGGTGAATAGTGGGGCCGAATGGACTTGATTGTAAGTCTCTCTCCCTGCTCATTCCTTGTGGTAACAGCAGTGGGAGAGTCAAGAGGTGGGCTGGTAACAGAGCCACTGAGAGGAGAGGGATTATAACTACTGAAGCAAAATAGATGATGGCAATTGGGTTCCTCATAGTGAGTTGACCCAACATCAGGTGAAATCACTCACAACTGGAACAGAGACTGAAAGTCCCTGTGTTGTAGCACAAGGTTGCAAGACAATGGAACAGCATGACTGGTGGGCTGACCCTGGCTGGACACCAGGTGCCCACCAAAGCCGCTCTATCACTCCCCTCCTCAGCTGGACAGAGGAGAGAACATACAACAAAAGGCTCATGGATCAAGATAAGGACTAGGAGAGACCTCTAAAAATCAACCATGAATGGGGTGTTGCAGAGGGAGTGGAGAAATGAAATACCAATTACGTGGTGAGGAAAACCAGGCAAAAACTACTGCTCACAATATGCTCAGAGGATGTGCCACTGGCAACTGACAGGGGCAACAGCAGAAAGGACTGTGAGCCAAATACTGCATTTACGACAGTGCAGTCCCTCAACCAGGCAGTGCTAATGGGCATGGAAGGGAAAAGTAACTGCCCAAGTGAGCCTTTTCTGTAAAGTTGTACTTGTGACTCAGGGAGCACTGAGTGGATGAGCTGGTGCTTGCTGGGGCTCAAACTGATAATCCTGAAATTCCAGCAGAATGTAAGAAAACACTTTTCTATCCTGCATGTGACTGAACACTGGCACAGACTGCCCAGAAGTTGTAGTCTCCATCCTTGGACAGCTCTGAGCAAACTGCTTTAGCTGACCCTGCTTGAGCAGGGGGCTGGACCAGACAGACTGGAAAGGTCCCTCAGCCTCAGCTGCTGTGGGATTTGCTAGTATGTTTTTGTCAGTTTCTTGTTCTGTTCAATCTCCCATTAAAAGAAGGCTCACAGTGAGCCTAACCATTGCATCTATTACTTTGGGAATGCAGAGAATTTGAGTCTCTATGTGCATTTTGATATAAAGTGCATTTCGTGCAATGCAGAGTAATTGGGTTTTCCAACAGCATACTAATGATGAACAGGCAGATGCTGCCATGGCTGTGTTCAGCTTTGCTTCTGGATGGAAGATTAGATCAAGAATACCACCCTCTGCTGTTGCAAGGCTGAAGCAATTATCTCAACTCCTTAGCAATCAGCTCCTAAACACCGTATCATAGAATAGTTAGGGTTGGAAGGGACCTAAAAGATCATCTAGTTCCGTTCAGAAAAGGCAGATGCACCTTCCACTAGAGCAGGTTTCTCCAAGCCCCATCCAACCAGGCCTTGAACACTGCCAGGGATGGGGCAGTCACAACTTCTCTTGGCAACACATACCAGTGTCTCACCACCCTCATAGTAAAGAATTTATTCCTAATACCTTTTCTAGATCTACCCTCTTTGATCTTAAAGCCATTCCCCCTTATCCTATCCCTATATCCCCTTGTAAAAAGCCTCTCAGTTATACAATTATGATATTCTGTAGCATGCAGCATGCTACAGTTGTGATGACAGTAATGCACTGTTTCTTTAACTCAGAGACAAGATGTGGCAGGAACTCAGATATTCAGGTCTCAGACACGCTTCTGAAATGTCCATAGATTACCAAAGTTGCTTCTTATACGTGGAAGTCAGAGTAAAGTGATACCTGAACTAATTACCTGGAAATGGCAGCCTGAGGCTGGATAAAGCCCGATCTGATCAGTGTCAGTGCTGGCAAATAAGGGAGAACAGAAACTAACAGAGCAACAGAAAGATGAAGGGGTACTGCTTCCTACCTGTGCTTCAGACTCTCCTCCCTAATGAACCACTGCAGTGCTTGCAGGCTGCTCAGGAGGTGGCTCAGTGATGAGAGGTATTGCTGCGGTACTGGGTGGTATCAGTGTGGGTCAGGGAGCCTGTGGGGCATGCGGATGCCCATCACGTCAGAGCCAGGCTCCAATCCCCCTTCCCTCCTTCAGTGGAGATAAGAAGAGTATGAAGGATGGTATGACACCTCCCAGCCTGGCATCACGGCTGGAAGTAACCAGCCAGCAGTGTGGCTTTTTTAGGGAGAATAACAGCAGTTTGCCTTCAATTGGTGTTTGCAAGCTGTGGCAGTTCAGGAGCTGGTAAGAGGCTCTCAGTTCAGGCAAAGTACTGAGGCTGGGGTACTCATATTTTTAGTTGGGGTCTGCTTGCTCATTCTGTGTTATTAACTTCAAATCCATTGGCCCACTTCAATCAAATCAAACAAGTCGTGTAAGAATCAGCAGCTAGGCAGAAGCATAAAATTCGCTGTATGACAGAGACTTAAATATATGAGAAATCTATACATAGGTGATTTCATACTGTGCCCCAGGGAAAAGAAAAACCAAGCTTAATTCAGTAATCTAAGCTTAGATGTCTTAATTTTAGACTCCCTTGAGTATCCTGTCTGGCCTTCAGTTGTTGCTCCAGAAGGACTCGGGTCTCCTGCATGTCCTGTGTCAGCCCCATGTGGAGATCTTCATTTCTCTAGGGTATCTAAATGCCAACAGATTGCTAGCTGTGGGAAACAGAATTGAGCCTACTGGGCTTATCTGCTTATTTACAGTAGATCTGTGATGTGTTTACAGTTCAGATAGTACCAAAATAATGTCTCCACTGAAAAGTCTGTTTCATCTCAGCGGTTGCTTGGTCTCTCTAAATGGGCAACCAGCCACCACTGCCTGGTCAATCGACAGAAGCATAGCTCAAAACCAGGCCCAATAGGTAACATCCCACATAGGAGCACAGCAGGGAGCTGGGCTGCTGGCAGGTAGATGCATGGAGAGAGGATGGAGGCTGTAGGCATTGTCAGGGGAGAGTGATCTACAGGAGAGCTAATTCCAAAGGGTGAACTCACAAGAGAAATGCTGGAGATTAGTTAGGATTATGGTACTGGTGAAGCTGTAAAGTACAAATCCGAAGGAAATAAGGCTTTATTAGTTCTGTTAGTCTTTTCTTTTAGGTAGTTCTAGTTGGTTTTTTTCCTTTTCTTCCCAAAACACTCTGAAATGATGCTTTCTAAAGGAAAATCTCTCTCAGATCCTTATCCCCAAATGACTGATCAGCCTTAACAAGCAACCAGACTTGAACAGTTATTCAGGCAGCTGAATAACTTAGCAACAATATAAAAACAGCCATCTGGGAAAAGTCTTGTCAACTCTTCACAACCAATGCAGAGGCATTCTAGGCACGCCTATGAAAAAGGTTAAGATGGGTTGGTTTATGTTCCACATTTTGACATAGAGATTGATGGCCGGTGTGAAGACTGAATATACCAGTTTGAGCTGTCATAGGCATCTATCAAACAAAAAGCTGAGTGAAAATTTAAATTGTGCTGCAGAAAAAGCCATTTCCCCTTTCCCATGTCTCATTTCTAGCCTTCAGTTCTGCTGGAAGCAGTTGTTTTTTAATTGGGAGGGCTTATTTGGCCTTTTGCAAAAATAAAGCAGAGGAAAACATGTCATTGTTATGAGGGAGGATTATGTCCTGCACTGCGGTTAAGCCTATGTGTATTTTTTAAGGTAAACTGAATGCATTTAATTCTTAGAAATGAGGATCAGCAAATACATAGAATCACAGAATAGTTAGGGTTGGAAAGGACCTTAAGATCATACAGTTCCAAACCCCCTGCCATGGGCAGGGACACCTCACATTAAACCATATCACCCAGGGCTCTGTGCAGCCTGGTCTTGCACACTGCCAGGGATGGAGCATTCACAACTTCCCTGAGCAACCCATTCTAGTGCCTCACCACCTTAACAGGAAAGAATTTCCTCCTTATATCCAATCTAAACCTCCCCTGTTTAAGTTTTAACCCATTACCCCTTGTCCTATCAGTACAGTCCCTAATGAAAAGTCCCTCCCCAGCATCCCTATATGCCCCCTTCAGATACTGGAAGGCTGCTATGAGGTCTCCATGCAGCCTTCTCTTCTCCAGGCTGAACAGCCCCAACTTTTTCAGCCTGTCTCATGGCAGCTTTACTCTTCTAGACTTTAAACCAGGTTTGTCCACTGAAGGGTGCTGTCAGACTATATTGGAGATAATGGGCCCATTTATAGTTCCAGTATTCCCTCAAATTTTGATTTATAGCTTTACTGAGAACTGCATCAACTTGCTTATCTGATGCCGATTTCCAGGGATTTGGATGAGAGCCACATACAACCACCATTAAACCTGGCATGCTCACTGTGACTTTTTGTAATATGTCTTTAATCCATGGGAGGAAGCTAGTCAAGGTTTTAGTTATAGAGGGCCAAGTCTTCAGGTTGCATGAATTAACTGTCACATTGAAGTTGACAGAGTTACGCTGATCTAAGTTAGGTTCCAGCCTAGACAGTGAATGAGAAAGCAAAGCAGGGCAGGGAGTGACAGTCAGTTTCAAGGAACGTTTCACAAACTTGCCGATTAGTCCGAGGCAGTACTTACATCCTGGTTGGACATCTCCCAGTATGGTCTCTCACCATAGGACATCACCTCCCACATTACAATCCCATAGCTCCACGCATCACTTGCTGAAGAGAACTTTCTGTAAGCTATAGCTTCAGGAGCAGTCCATCGTATGGGGATTTTTCCACCCTGGAAAATATGTTGCAAACTTGTCAGTATGACTGGAATACAGAATAGCATGTGTTTAAATGGAGAAAAAAAAATCCTGGGTGCTGAGATTTGATGTTCTCTCTTCTGTCAATTTGCCGCCAGTGGAAAAGAAGAAATACACCTTCTCTAGAATTTGATAAAAATTCATTTTTCTTTGTAACCTAATTCACCAAAAGCAGCACTTTGTGAAAACAAAACTCAGTTCAAAGAACAGAAAGCATTTTAGATGATTCATGCTTGTTTAGTCGCATAATTAGAGCATGCCTTTTGATTTAAAACATCTGAAGCCTGAAATTCCTAGGACACTGACATTAAAACTCTTTCCTTAAATGAAAGAAACATCTATTGCAAAATGGAACAACAAAAGCACTTAATACAATTGCATAATCAGAAAGGAAACTATAGGCTTTCTACTATTCTTTGCTTTAGATAATCTCCTTTAATTTTTGTTGTGCATTTAAACATCCAGGCAAGTAGCAAACCAAGTGTGTGTCTCATACATGTTTCCTTGGGATATTGAATAGTTTCGTTCTGCAGGTTTCAACTTAAAATCCAAGTACTACCATGCCCAAAAAACAACCAACCAACCAACCAAAGGTAAGAATTCAGTCAACAAACCTGACTTACTCTTCACCACAGGATGCAGAACTTTTCTGATATTAGTAGTTTACACCATTCAACCTCTTCCGTTCTCCCACAAATAGCTTACATACAAAACCTACTTTTGCATTTCAGAACAAAGTATTTCTTATATATACTTATCTTTTTGAAATTATACAGTTTTCAAAACTGTACATTTATTATCATTCTCCATTTAACTCTAAAAAGTATATATAAAGGGCAGTACACTTATGGTGCCACTAGATGGTAGAAGGAGGCAGTCAGCAGTAGCTTTCAACAAGCAGTTAATAGATTTTGCTCAGGGTTATAACTGTATTTCTGACAAACAAAAGCAGAAATGAACTAGAACATCCACTTGGCAATCAAACAGAAGCCACAGTTAAAAACAAGTATGTAAATCTCCGTTAATTTGCTTTGAATAAAGAATTGTCTGCGAGTTGTTGAGGCCTGACTTCAACTGACTGAGAGGATGGATGGTTGTTTTACTAAGAGAGTGCTCAAAAGCAAAGCTCTCTGTCTGTGTTGATGCACCAGTAAGCTGAATTCTCATCACCAAGTTTCACCTGCTGATGAAAAATCTATGGTTAACATTTATGTTGTATGGTTAGCGTTTATGTTTTATGGTTAACATTTATATTGTATGGTAGTTATGACAGTAGCCAAGATATCCTTTGTATGATGTTACATATTTTGCAGCTGCTTTTTAAAACCTTTGTTTGCTCAGTTGTAGTTGAAGTCAGTGGCAAACCACTTACTGGTTTTTGCAGTAGCAATGTATATTACTGTAATCAAGGTATTACAATAATCAGTAATAGGAAATATATTTTCAGCTACTCTAAACCCCTTATGTGTTCTTTTATTATGCATGAGCAGCTATTACTACTGTTCAGTCTCATAGATCTCTTAAGTATTAAATTTATTTACAGTATTAAAAATACTGTATTTTTGCCAAAGCACCTCCCCTACCTGCTTTTCTTACCTCAATAAGCTGGTGGTCAGACCACTTCTGTGAGGTGCAAAGGACTTCACATCCCACCTGCTGCCATCTCTGAGCCTGCCCTTGCCAGCACTGCAGGACACTACCCGTCCCTTCCTAGTACAGCTCTTCCACTTGGGAAGCAATTACAAATGCTTTGGGTGTGAGAATGGAGACAGGGTGACAAAGGAGTTTTGTGAGAAGACATTCTCCAAGGAAAGACCAGCCTAATCCTGTCCTGTTAAACCTTCCAAACAGAGTGGATAAGAGCATTTTGTGTTTGATCTCACCGTCTGGTTACAACAGTGTTTTGGTGGGATATGTGAGTCCAAGCTTCCTGAGGCAGTGGAAGATGTAGATATTCAGTGCCCCAAATGTACACTACACACTGAGCTGTACAACCAAAAGGATTTGTCCCCTGAGAAGCAGGAAGTTTTAGAGTGTAAGTGCAAAGTATAGTTCAAAATATTGCTTCACACTACAGAGTTATGGGCCTTATCCTTTTAACTGGATTGGGCTCAGTCCTTTAGTTTTAAGCGTTTTATTGTCAAATGTATGTAATTCCACCCTTAGATCCCTGGCTTCTGCAGCTTACTGGGGACATTTTCCTAGCCAAAGTCACAGGTAGGAACTTAACTCCTTTGGACCTGGGCACATGCACTTTTAGAAAGGTAAGCAAGTCATGACAATCTGTATCACAAGAGACATTGCCCAGACAACCCTCAATGCCCTTCGTCACCAGCAGCATATCAGTCCTGTCTGTTAAATGATGTAGAATGTGAGACACTTGTTCCAGCACAGGAGTTCACTGTCTTAACCTTGCCTTACAAAGCAATCCCCTTGATGCCTTTGGTTTAATGTCTACTCAAGATACTTTTTGGAGTGCTACAGCATTATGAGGGAGCATGCAAAAATAAAAACTCCTTATATTCCTTCCTTATTACAGATCTCAGGAGGTGACAGGAATGGTTGTGTTAATCTAAGACTTTGTTTATCAAGACAAACTGGTGAATCAACGGGTTTACTATGAGCCCGATTTGTAGAGTTTTATTAATAATTTATTATTTTTTTCAATTTTAATGGAAACTATTAGGTTAATAATTAAATATCTACTTGTAGGGAAAACATAAATCTATACATGCAAATAAAACACATCTGGATATTTATAGATTTTACTTTTAATGTCTATAAAATAATAGGGAAATTAATTTTTAGTGTGTCCTTTTCATAAATCTGATTATGCACTCCCAAATTACACTGAAAAAGAAGTAACATCTTGAACAGCATTTGCAGCTAACTTCGTGACTACTGGCTAAATATAAATGAGTTTTAAAGAATCTGATTAGACTACACCTCGTTTCATGACACAGCTTTACTGATCCCTAGTGGGCTGAAACAGTAGTGGCTCCTTGAGTGTGAAAAGGAGACTGGAGAAGAGTCTCACCAAAATTCAAGGCAGCTCCTGTTCAAGGGCATAAGATGTGTTCAGTGTTGTAATGTAAAATAAGCATCTTTTGTGCTAGCTGTTAATGACAAAGTGAAGCAAAGCCTCTAAAAATTTTACAGTGGATTCATCTTGTGCATGAAGATGTTATATTCATAAAAATGTAAATCTCAGTACTTATGTTTGCAGAATATCTTTCCATGCTAAAAAACCTGCTTTATTTATTTGAAAGCCAGTCAAAAGGAGGAGATTCCAGTATGACTACCTTAAGAGAGCTATATGACCGAACAGTAGCAATAGCTGCTCATGCATAATAAAAGAACACATAAGGTTTAGTGTAGCTGAAAATACATTTCCTGTTTCTGATTAGAGTAATAACCAGTGTTGCTGATATTGGACACGTCTTCTTACATTTCAATCTAACTGGGAAAATAATAAATGCAATTCTTACTGTTTACACAATGTCCCGCCTTCAAATTAAGGTAATTTATAAATAATCTACTTTTTTCTATTGTAGCGATGAAATCTGTCACAGCTCCCTGTATCAGACAGCCCTTAAGGCAAGCCCGTTTTGCTTTTAGGTTATTCTTTCTCTTTTGGGAGGGCAGGGGGAAGGGGCATAAGAGGTGTTAGGAACCCAATTATATTTCTGTCTCATCTCATGCATTAATAACTATATCAGTGATAAGCTAATTTTATTTTCGCACAGTAAAAGAACACTAACAGTGCTATTCAAATAATTGGAATTCAATCCTTTTTTTCCCCTATGCTGCCAGCTGAATACTGTCCATCTCCTGATTTTTTTCTTGATTGTAATTTAATAAGCAATTTTACTGTGCAGTGTCAAGACTCCCCTTGGAATAAGAGTAGGCTCACATTGCTTAGCTTGTAGAACTGCTTAGAGATCAGCCCCTGAAATGAAATTCACCCCTTGCTCACCCACACCTACATACGCTCACTTTCCCTACTGAGTTGGCAACAGCACAGTTTGCCACACATTTAAAGACAGAATGGGAACTACATGCTGCAGAATGCATCATTCTTTACCTCAAGCTATGCATAAGAGAGAGACAGACACCCTAAAATGCTGTTTCTTCTTTGAGCTTACAACAACAAAAGCGCTTGTGATCTGGTATGTGAAAAGACCCTGGTGAGGCAACTGACAGGCTGCCATGTATTGTCCAACAGGCCACAAGCACGTTTTTGATTTGATCTCATTTGATTTTTTGTTGAATGTTACATGTTAGACATCTTTTTAAAACCAAGAAATGTTAACAGTTTCTTTAATCAAATATTTAAATATAGTTTAAAACTCCAGCAGAACAATGTAAGTGGCAGCTAAGGCCCATTATTCCACCAAGATGAAGGTCAGGATGTATCAGCACTATCAAAATGCATGATGTGAAAAACGGCAGAGGGAGCACAGAAGCAAAGAAGGAAGCCTGTTAAATGCCCAGAACTTTTGGCATGCCGTGCTAGCTAATTAAAGTGAGGAGTGCTACCACTGGGAACCTTAGATAGAAAACTTGAAGGTAAGATGTATGGATGTGCCAAGACAGTGATGCACGTAAGCAGCCAGAATCAAACACAGCGCATCAGACCTGCGATACCCTCGAACTAGCAGTGATGTGAAACAATGCCTTTTTCTGTTGAAAAGCCTGTTCTGTATTTTCTTTGAATGACAGACACTGCAGAGGGACTGTCACTGAGCTGGCTGCAGTTTTCCTAAATGCTGAGGTGCAAACCCATCGGTTCCAGATGTACAGACATCCAGAACTGTCTATTTCTAGGACAAAAGCTGCCGAACTATGTGCACCATCAGTCTAGTCTGGCACAGTAATTCCTATGCATCTGTCAGTATTTCTTTATGTATGACGTTACTGAATTGTGCAATAATTTTCCATGACAGAAGTGTAGTATCTGTCTTTTTCTTCACCC